TCAGATCACGTGCGGGGTCCTCGCTGGTCCACGTAAAAACCTAAAGTCTACAGAGTTTCCCCAGGGAGTCAGCCGTGCAGGACTAGACTACCTCACGGGGTCCTCGCTGGTCCACTTTACTTTCTTTAGTGAGTTAAGGTACGGGACTTAACTAGCCGACTCTTACAAACACCTAATAGTCTTATAACTGTCTTGGTGCCTTAGGTCCGGACTGTTCTACCTGACTCTAAGCACCTTCTACAGCATGTATTGTATTTTTTGTTACCGTGACTAAGAACACTGAGAACGCCGCTGACAACTGTAAAATGTTGTAGCAAAGCCAAATCACAGATTTTGGTAATCAACAGGTATCTGTTTTTACCTTTGTATTATGTAGGACGCCCTGGTGTAGTTGTCAGTGGTGTCCAGGTGTCCTCCCCTGGACTGAATTCCGTCCGCTGGCTGTCGGTAGTCCTTCTAGAGACCAGCACTCATCACGTCGGGAGTCACCAAAGTTATTACACACTTTATTGTTCCAATGCAGTAAACAAAGATATCACCTTGTAAAGTGCCACAGCACGCACAAGCTTGCTGTGAGGAAATGGCCAAGGTCTGGTTTAAGTACCATCATGTTCACATAAGAACGTCTATAAGAGGCCTGTAGTAATATGTGGGTGCAGAGAGTGTGTGTAAGTGAGATCCACAGCAGATGAGATGTTCAAAGCAGAACAATATGAAAGGTGTCTTATGTACAGTAGTTAAAAGTACACACCCTTTTATCCTCCCTCTTCTAAAATGAAGCCAAGCAGCTCCAGCTAGGTTTTTGACACAGGGTTAAAGCTTGAGGTATCCATGGGAAGAGGCATTTAATAAAAGATCCATCACTGCATTTTATTTAATGTTATCGAATCATTAAAATAAACATTGATTTGAATCGTAAAGTAATTTGTTTAACCCAGCACTAATATTTAACATTACTGACATTTGCTGACACTAGATGTCAAAAACATATTCCTTCAGCATTTTTTCAACGAGCTCCTCTGAGACTGCCAAGGCTACACAG